AAAGTTCATGATCTTGTCCCCACGCCCACAATCCATCACATGGTCCAATCTTCTTCCATGCTGGCATCCACACCCAGCTGCTTCCGATCAGGTGCGAAGGGGCGGAGACAAAAGATGACCTTGGTCTTTTAGAAGAGAATGGCAATAACACATTCCACAATCCTACTCCTGTCTATTCCCCGCTCCCATCAACTATACTAATGAAACAGCATAATGAAATAAGAGAAAGTGTGGCAGGCCAAAATTCTAAAAGGGATATAATTGCAGGCCTGACAGCGGGTTTTGATGGACTCTCACCAAGGACACTTACAGTATGTTGTGGCCCACCAGTGGTCAGCAGGGCAGGTTACAACAGTTCACTTAGTGACCATTCGAAGTTACAACAAGCACTGGAAAAAGTGACTTACCAACCGTTTTTCGAACGTACACAGCATTCCCCATGGTCACGGAAACAAAAATTTGGATGCTGTTTATGGACGGTTGCAGTGCCCCAAGGCTGTGATGATCACATTTTGCAACTGTCCAAGAAGCGAACTCAATGGGGAAAAGCCAGGTTCACTTAACGACCGCCTGTTACTAATTTTACCGCTGCAGTGATTCACTTAACAATGGTGGCAAGAAAGCTCGTAAAATGGGAGGTGGGGAAATTCACGTAGCAGCTTATCAAGAGAAATATCGGCCTCTATGGAGATTCTCCGTCATCCAGGACACAGTTGTCCCAGAGCTGCTTTTTTCAAGAGGCAATCGGGCTTCCTGGTTTTTCTGTGAAGGCATTTCGCTTCTCACCCAAGAAGCTTCTTCAGCTCTTGAGTGGATGGTGGGGAAGAGCAGTCAGAACTGAAGAAGCTTCTTGGATGAGAAGCTAAACATCTTCAAAGAAAAACCAGAAAGTCCAGTGGCTTCTTGGGGGGGGGGGAGCACTTGTGGTCGTAAATCAAGGACTACCCATACTTCATTTGAACATCAAACAGTATATTTCATCCCTTATCAAATTTCACTTTTCTCTGTCCTGGTTAAACAGTCCTCCATTTCAGAAAGCTTGTTTACATCTCTCCATTTCCCCATTTCTCGGGTGCTAATTCAATTTATAAAGCCATTAATCCTCCTGGATCAAATCTTTTGCTTCTTGGCCTGCCTAGATCTTTGTAAGATACAGTAGTTTTCATGGCTCAGTTGGACGCAGCACCCATACCGAGGACAATCGTGTTCCTATTCTTTGCAAATTTTAACTTTTGCAGCCCCTAAACAAACAGTTGCGGGGAGGAGGGAGTGGTGGAAGAAAAAATAAGACTCTTTGTACAGCTTTATTCTGTTCCCGGAGAGCTGGCATTTATACCGAATCATGCTTTTTAACACAGCCCGAGACCAACTTTAAGCCAACTTTAAAGTTAAAAAAGGACTTGACCTAAGCTTGCAAATATTTGAATTGAGCATTTCTTTTATTTCCCCGATGATTTATTGCTCTCTTAACTAACTTCCTTTTCTTTAAAAAAAAAAAAAAAATTCTTAGGTATTAACGAAAGAATTTTACAGTCTTCAAGGATTGAGCGAGAAAAAGATCTCGGAACTTCAGGCACAAAATTCTGAGTACCAAGCCAGGCTTGACACGTACGAAAAACTGGAAAAAGAACTCGATGAGATAATAATGCAAACGGCAGAGCGTAAGTCCTTCCGAATTCTCCTTTATGATTCCGTCTTGGAATTTATTTACAATCTAATGGCCGCTAATGAGATTGGTTTCGTTATAAATCCAGGAATGTTGAGTACCCATTCAACATGCAGCTGTATACAATGAATTAGCATAAATATGTATTTTATTACACCTTAATTAGCAGCTTGAATATATATCGCCTTTTGAATATCTCCTAAAATTACTGTGTTCTCTCTCTCTCTCTCTCTCTCTCTCTCTCCCTCTCTCTCTCTCTCTCTCTCTCTCTCTTTCTCTCTCTCTTTCTCGCTCTCTCCCTCCCTCCCTCCCCCTTTCCCTCTCTCCTACCAGGGCAAAATGATGATGTGTTGTTGTTTTCTAACAAATCTCTCTTTCTCTTCATTTCTCTCACTCTCTTCATTTTTCTCTCTCTTAAAAAAAAGCCTGATTCCCCAGGCATGTCAGCTCTTGCTCTCTTTTTCAATTTGTTATCTCACTCCATGACAATCTTTTGGAAAGTTTACTGTGAAAGTTGTTGCAGCAAAAAAAAGAAAAGAAAACCAGAAGTGCTGAATTCTACAACAGTGTCTCTGATGGCAGTAAATTTTAACGAAAGGATTTTCTCTATCAGCAACAGAATTGTCTGTTGCTGTGAGCAGTATCAGCACTTCTTAGACCGGGATAGGTGTGCATATTTGTGTGTGTTATGCACGGAATTCCTCTCCTGTGCATACCGCCCCGAATAAATAGGATGGAAAGATATATCTTGTACTACTTGTAGTGAGTCATTGCCCTGGGTCCATGCACCAACTTCGTTTATCGCCTGTTGTCTAATTCATGGACTTATCAGAACATGGAGATTCCACTCATTTAATTTAAAGTCTCCAATTTAAAATAGTAGCAAGAGGTTGAGATGGATGCATTGATGGATGGATGGACGGACGGACAGATGGATGTTTTCGAATGAATTCCATAAACTCAAATCAGGTTATAATGGATATCCTTAAAATTACACAAAAGTAAACATTTCATTCATTTAATCCTTGGTGCTCTCTGAATTTGATTTGTTTGTCAGCAGAATGTTTTCATTACCAACCTAAAATTAAATGATCCTTCTTAGTTATTTCAGAGTTTAGATATAAAGTGATACAGTTTCTTTCTTTCTTTCTTTTTGGATATGGTCATTGATATAAATGTTGTTCATCTTTCCTGAGTAAGATTTGGCAGAGGGGATTCTGGGAAAAGGGAAGGGAGTTATGGGTACATCAGAAAAGCATCCCAAAGGATATGGAGACCAGGGATGGCTACCTGTGTCCTTCAGAATGATGGTGTTGGCGAGTCCAAATCTGGTTTTATTTGTCCAGCGACAAATCTAAGAGCTTGTAGGGAAATCCCATGAGTGGAGTTTGTGGACTGTATTCCATTGACAGTTCTTTTGTGTTTTGATTGTGTCTTGTTAACCAGAAGAAAGATTCTCCTCTGGAAATCCATTCCTACTCCCGCACCATTCAAAGGATGTTCATCCCGAATTGTATAGCTAAAATTCTCTAGAGATTCTCAGTCATCCAGGTCATGGTTTTCCCAAAGGGGCTTTTTTGGGATTTTGGGGGGGGGGGGGTTGTTCCTTGGGGTGGGGAAGCAGCTTTTCTTTTTCCTGAAAAAGCACCTTTGGGACAACCATG